TATAAAAAATAATGTGAGGAAAAAGTCATTCAAAGTAAAATTGAGACTTTTTCTTCACTTTACATTCAATGTTTTAAAATACTAGGCACTCCAAAAAAAATTATTCCGAAATGGATCAATTTGATAGCAAGAAACAACAGCAAATAGATATTTAGTACTGCAGTTGTTTGATATCTGGGTTGTATTTTTAGTTGTTTGGTTTTTTAAGAAGATACCATTTGAGTTTGAGTGGTCTTAAAAATAATCCTAATGTCCTTCACTCCACATATAGAGCATAACTAATTAATTTTGAAATTTTGTATTAGGACAATAAAACCCTATTGTTATGAGGAAAAATATTACCTAAAATCTACATATATATTTCACCCCACCCCCAGAAGCTGTATTGCCACAAGTGTAAGAAGGTGTGCTACAACCCCAAAGGCAGGTGGTTTGAATCTATTATCTGCTCTATGGTAGAAAGATGGGCAGTCACCTTCTTTGGGACCTACTGCCTCTGAAAACCCATTGGAAGGTCAGCTATGGGTGGGTTCCTACTCAATGGTATATAACAACAACAACAACTGCTGAGGTTGTCTTTCAAGGAATAATACTGATTTGAGAATTATAATTTTTCCCCACTTTCTTCTTATAATCCAAAATTTTGTTTATGCTACTTGTGTGTTGTTTTTCTTTTGTTGTTGTTGTATGCTTTTGCACTGACTCTGTCTAATACTGACCCTACAAACAACAGTTCGGAACCTTGCCCTGTGCTGAGCCAGTCTCACCATCTCTAACACACCGAACTCCATTTCTACAGTCATTGTGTCAGTACATTTCATCCACAGTCTTCCTCTCCTGTGTCTTCCATTTACCCCTCTAAACATGATGTCCTTCTCTAAGGACTGGTTTCTCCCAGAAATATGTCCTAAGTATGTGAGAGCTTTAATGTACTTGCCCAAGGAGAAACCTGGTTTCAACCTCTCAAGGATGGACCTATTTGTTCTCTTGGCAGTCCATGGTATATTCAGTTCTTTTTTCGAGCACCACAACTCAAAGACATTGATTCTTCTGTACGTCTTATTGATCATCCAGCTCTCAGAGACATCATAAGCAATTCAAAAGTTCATGGCCTGGATCAAGAGCACCTTAGTCTCTAAACTGACATTATTGCCCTCTGGAGATATTCTTGACAGCAGATTTTCCTAATGGTACTCATTTGATTTCCTGACTGCTGATGCCAAGAGTATTGATTGATGGATTGTGAATCTAAGAAAGATGAAATCATTAACAACTTTAAGGTCTTCATGTATCATGATTACTCCTGTTGAAATGCAGTCCATTTTAAAAGCTTCAGTCTTTGACCTGTGCAGCAAATGCTTTTAGCAAACATTTCAGCTTTCATCTGCATAATACAAGTTGTTGATGTGTCTTCCTCCAATCTTGATTCCACAGCATTCTTCATAATGTCCAGTCTCCCAGATTATCTGTTCAGCCTATATAGTGAAAAGCTATTGAGGAAAAAAATACATCTCTGATGTGCTCCTTTCTTCATTTTGAGACATGCAGTGAATTCTCTAACTGTAAGGGAAACAGCACAGCTTCCTGGTCTAAGTATAGGTTTCACATGAGCACAACCGTACCCACAATTTGTTGTGATCCACACAGTCAAATGCCTTTGTATAAACAACAACAACAAAAAAAACCCACATGACATCGTTCATGTACTTTTCTTTCAGCCAAAATCTGTCTGAAATCAGCAGTGATATTCCTTGAATCACAGCCTCTGTGAAACCCGGCTTGTATTTTTGACAGTTTCTCTGTCGATGTACCCTTCTAGGCATTTTTTCGTAATCAAGATTTTGCTTGCGTAAGCAAT